CAATTTAAGTAATTTTTATCGTCTCGTTGCTTGTTAGCACAATAAAGTAACAAATGTATTGTGCGTATTATTACGATCAGACGACTTAATTAACAATAACAACATTAATATCGCTAAATCAGACACAAAGTATAAACAAACTCAACATGGAAGCACTTCTTATGACATATCCTTATATCTATACAATGTGACACGTATTGTAACATGATATTAAAGAATTTTTTTACTGCGCATTTTTCTTCGTTGCAAAATTGACACGTTGTTAAACACGTACGTGAATATTATTTCTTTTCTCACTTGCAAGTGAACTTATTAATAATACTAATTCAAAGAATTGTTTTATGAATAACTAGTTAACTAGTTTATGTTTAATATTTTATTATGAATGAATCATAGTTTTGCACTGGAGCACAGGTCGGGAACTTTTGCAAATAGTAAATATTTACGGACAACCTTGCTGAAGCATCGGTATTTCTATTTTATGGCTGCTTCCGTTGCAAAAGTGTAAATTATTGTAAATATAAATCATTCATCACAAGAAGACTAGAATAATTCTTCAGTAAAACGATTTTATGAACTGAATATTTACTTATTTTGGGAAATTAATCATAAAACCAAACTTCAAATCTTAAACTTGTGTAAATGGTCAAATTTAACAAATTAAACATTATTATGTATTATATAATTTTAATAATATATAATCGCGCTATCGTGCACACAATAGTGTACGATTATTATTCCATCTAAAGTTTTATTTGAATTACTTACTTTGTTTAATGTCTCACCTCTATTTTATCAGAAAAAAATAACACTGCATGCGTAGTTGATATACCATTCATTCATCATGGTATTTTCCACACATTGTTATCAAATTACAATAGTGTTACAACGGTGGGGACGAATACCTTCCATCGATTGAATCGTTACAAGCGATAACAAAAATGTACTAAAGTACTAAAATTAACACTTTAGTATTTAATATTGTAAGTACAAGGTTCTTTTGAATAGTAGACACGCTTACAAATTTACTATTTCTATATTATAACTACCAAAGTTCCGAGTTTTCTTTGTAAGAATATTGTCAGTTAAATCTACAAGTTAGTTTAGCATACCATGCACATACAAACGCATTGCTATCGTGACATTGAAGAATGGTTTACATTTCCATGACTAAACTTCACTTAGAATATCTACATGAGATATAAACGGTTTTAAATTAATTTCCCTAGTAAGGTAGCAATCATAAACAAAAAATTAAAATTTCGTTACGCACACTCACATGACCGAAGCATGTGAATCATGAGGTGCACAAAAACTACTCACAGTATAATCATGTTAATCACGCAACTTTTTTGCTGTTTATTGTTGTTAAAAGTCTCAGAAAATTCTAATTTTTCCATTTGCTACTTCTTCAAACTCATAAAAATAACGAGTCCCTTACAGAGACAACATATTAAAATAATTTACTTTTAATTTGTTGAACTTGAAACGGATTCAAAGATAAATAAAATTTAAGTTTCTCTAGCTACTTATTTAGTAGGTACTTGGTACTTATATGTAGTGACGTAAATCTGGCACTGGTCAATCCGTCAATCGTAGCACTAGATGACAATAATTATTATGACTAAAAATACTAAAAAATGACCTTCGAATGTATGACTGCAGGCAATTTATTGTGTTTTGGTTACAATTGGATGTCGGCATATCGTTCAGTGCAAATCACATCCACTTCAATACAATTCAGCAAAGTAAAACCTAACATTGCATCATATTGCTGATAGTCTGAAATCCTGAGAATTTACCCGCCTACACTCATACCTTTATACCCACACTATCTTAAAAGGACTGAAATTCAAACTCGGAATCGTCTGAATATGTAAGAAGTGAGATGCAAAATAGTATACAGCACCTACTGAAAAATCTACACAAACTACCTGCTACACAAATAATGATCTGTTATTTATTACAAACATCCTATATTCAAGTCTAAATTGCATGCGCCCGTCATAAAATAATAACTTGTTTTTATTTTTATGATCGTATAATAATAAACATTAATTTCCGGTTGTTTTTGCAACATCCTGTATTAAAATGAACACAGACACGTTCAGACATGTTCGCTTGCTGAATAAACACTGAGCCATACGTGATGCATGAATGGTGAATGCATTTAGTGAAGAAAAATCACAATAAGAGGAAAAGAGATTTAATACATACGTACTTTGAAATCATTTGAGGTATACCCGTACCAGAATACCATTTATTATGAATGGTCTCAAACATGACATAAAAGAAGTAGAAATTTGAAGAAGTTCTCAGAAGTAAAATTAATCTGTTTTGGGATTTCAAATATTTTTCATGTTTTTTTAAAAGTTATCTATACATTCTATAGTTTTGTATTGAAAACTACAGTTATAAACATTAGATAAGTTTGATCAGTTTTCTGATTGGAAGTTTCCTAAAATTTACAAAATGTTGATTTAATTGCATTAAATGTGTAAAACTAAATTTGCATAACATTAAATTGTACTTAACCAGAACGCGTTAAATAAATTAAGCTATTAATTTGCACTTATTTTGAACCATTGAATCAGACTGGTATTCTTTGCATTTATAAACAAATGAACCTACTGGGTGTGCAATCATTTGTTTGATTTAGGTTTTAAAAAGTTTGAATGCTAACGCAGTGGGAACAAGTGTTACTTGCCATTTTTTGCCTGAGTCTTATTATTGTTAGACGTTGGAATGGTCGAAATGGTCATTTTGATTTATGTGTGCATCAAACCAATCAATGGTTCTTCGTGTTCAAACATACTGGAACGATGGTGGGGGACGTGATCGCTGCCGCTGCCTATAGGCGTAAAAGCAAATTTCGAAGCAGACATTCGTGTGTTTACTGCTGGTATAAGTAGACGTTCATTCAGTTCTCTTTTCCACGTTCGTTCCGTGTGGGTTTTCTCCGTTAAGTTGAAGATGTCGCTCAAAAACAAAGAACTCGCTGCACCCTTGCATGTTGGGGGAAAGGTATTTCTGTTTATTTTTGATTCTTTTGTTATAAATACGTTTAATTTAGTTTTATTATTTTTTGGCACATACGAATTAAATTCGGTGTTTTTGCAACCGGCGATTTACGGGTTTTAAATTACGCAAACCGTCTACCTGTACATCGAAAAATAACACAAAAAAAAAAACGCGACTGTGTTTGGAATTCGCATGCAATTTAAAATTACCCGCACTGACACGAATGTTGATGTATTTTTAATTAGAACTGAGGAAGAATTTCGACTACAGTTACCCATTTTACTTTCTAAAAATTGATATTTGTTCTAATCACCGGCCGGGTGTTAACGGGCACACGCGTTTTGTTAATTTTGTGACACATAAACATGTTATCACCGATTTATCATCGCTGGTATTATCGAATTGGTCTTATCATTACTCATTGCGGTTGTTAAAAGAAGTACGCCACCTACGCGTTTGCAAAAAACAATGCGGTATCCGTTAACTCCGCGTACGTACATTGCTTCCAACATCGAGAGTGGAAATTTCCATTGCTTTTGTTTATTTTTAAACTGGTGTTACATGCAGATGCACTTAACTGCAGCAAACCCCGTGTAGGTTTACACGTGCGGAGTGCACACGCGCCATTATTATGTGCTATAAAATAACTTTTTACTTTTAAATAACATAAAACTTAGTCATAACTTACTTCAACGCAATGCTAAACTTTCCTACAGAAAATTGTTCATTGCGAAACATTGCAACACATCTAAGGCAACATAAACTCATTGAAGGACATAGAGTAATATTAACTTTTTACCTGACGCCATTTTAAATTCTAGAACGTCAAGTACTTTCCAGGAAATATTTTTCTCTTTTCTAATTGTAATTTTATGGCTATTGTAATTTCAAAGAGATCTATGGTCAGAAAAGATTTGCCTCCGATAGATGCTACTCCGGTCGGTAAAACCTGTTGGGTGGCTGCGCGACATGCCGAAGAGCAGACCCAAAAATGTTAGAAGCACGTGGGGCGCGTAATGGGCACTCGGTAACTTTCCACTACAATCTATTCTGAGACTTCTATTCGCACATGTGCGATGTGCGTGTTAACTAACTTGAACTCGACGACAAGATGGCGGCACTCCACATGACGATTGTGTGCGAATATTAAATCAGTTAAAATTGCAGCTTTCTGAACTAACAACACGTAATTTACAATAATGATTTAAAACATTGAATTACATAACTTTAATTAAAGCCAATGATGAGCTTCTAAGTCACATTATTAATTTAACTGAATGATGGCGAATTTCATCACGACGCAACCATCTTGAAATATTTTTATTAAATAAACTCAAGGAGCTTAGGTATATACAAGGCACTTCCTGTTTGGATTAATATTTTTGGCCTAGTTGAGATTGTTTAGCATAGCTGAGCTTATTGTTGTAATTTGCTATGTGAATTGCCAGCAGGGCGATCGAAATAGCGTTCAGAGAGTAACTGTTACGAAGATAATTTGATCGTTTAGTTTTCGCAACTGCGTTGTTGATGTTATGCGCGCATCCGACACATGCGCAAGTTATTTTCGAAGAGCGCCAGAGCATAATTTCGCAGACATTAAAATTCGTAGGTAAACGACCTCAATTCGTGTGCGCGGTTACCAATTCGCCAATTGAAAACGAGCGAATCAAGATAATACGAACAAATGAACCATGGCGCATAAAAACAACATTAGAAAAAGTAATGACGCACTAGAATCTTATTTTGGAGTTAATCATCTCGTCCCAATGGCTGTTCTATTATAGAATAAATATTATTACTTTTTATGTTTATTTTTAAGTTTTTAGACAATGTGTCTCTCAAATCTTATATATTTTAGGAAAATCTAACAGGATCTGTTTTTTCTTTGTTCACAGAGGCCCCAGTTGATCTCCCAATACGATCAAAAAAGCGTCGCAGTAAACACCCAAGTAATAATGACAAAGTAAGTTGATTTTTTCCGATATCTTCCAACATTTAATTACCAGGATGACACGAACAACCGTCGGAGTATAATTACAACCATAGTTATAAATTATAACGACATGAACATAGATTTAATTACTTATGAGCTTGCCATGAATGAAAATTAGTGTTTTATCATCATTTTAGGTAAATAATATATAAGAATATTTTGTTATATTTTCATCTTCAACGATAGAAAGTTGTTTCAAGTAATTTCATTAACATTGTAATCATAGTTTTTCATTGTTTCAATATTTTATTATTTTGCAAATCACGCCGGCCAGTGTATAATTCCACAGATAAACAAACGTCGGAAAAGTTTTCAACAAATAATTGCGGTTTATACATATGGATATTTGTGGAAATATACATTGTATATTTACATGAAAATTGTTAACCATTACCATTTTACCATTGAATTGACTGTTCTGTTGCTTCTTAATATAAATTGTGTTGTTGTGATTATATTTTTTAAAGTCTTTCATAAACAAATTTGGCAATTATCGGAGCTGCCTCAAGTGCTGTTGCCGCAACGCGTTTTGCGCTGCTAGTGCTGAAGAGAGCTGCAGAAAGGTGATGATGGGATCTCCAACGGTACAAACAAACATTTAATTATTATCTACTATATTTTATTTAAGATTTTTACATGCATTCGTATTTGTATCACTTTAGGAGAATATTTGATGCACTTGGTTAGGATTGGTTATCAATGATATTGTATACCTACTAGTAACTTATCATTCCTTTTATTACACTATAGTATTTTGTTTTCGGTCGCTACCATCCCACTTGCACACTTACTTTGTCCATTAAGTTCATTTAGTTTATCGGATCGTTAGTTATAATGCGCAGATGATGTTTTATTTGACCATGTTTATTAGAGCAAAGATGATCAAGTGATTGGTACTAATTTGTACTGATTTTCAGTTTCAAAAGTGAAAAAAATGACGTCCCAGTGCCACTTGCCAATGGGTCCACATTTCCACTCTTTGGGCCGGCTCAAAATAGTGAAGCAGATGACTATGACCCATTTGAACATAGAAAAGTGGACCATCCGACATCGTAAGTTATTTAATACGAATTTTATTTCCCTAAGAATTTTTATTAAACTAATTATTATCTTAGGGATATGGATACCCTTATCCATCTTCTTAAAGGAAGTCTGGGTAGTGGTATTCTTGCAATGCCTTTGGCATTCGCCAACGCTGGGCTTGGTTTCGGCCTGGTGTGCACGTTCCTCATCGGTTTGATTTGCACCTACTGTGTGCATATACTAGTGAAAAGTGCTCACGTTCTATGTAGAAGAACGCGGGTGCCATCATTGGGTTTCGCCGAAGTGGCGGAAGCTGCTTTCCTGCAAGGACCCGAATATCTACACAAGTGGTCTCGGTTTGCCAAAGCAATGATTAACCTGTTTCTCGTGATAGATCTATTAGGTTGTTGTTGCGTGTATATAGGTTTCATTGCGAAGAACGTCAAGCAGGTTCTTGACTTTCATTCTGAATCGGACGTAGACGTGCGATTCTACATGGCAGCGCTGTTACCCTTGTTATTGTTGATGGGTCTTATCAGGAATCTTAAGTATTTGGCTCCGTTCTCGATGATCGCTAACATTTTGATGGCCAGTGGTATGGGTATTACCTTTTATTACATCTTCATTGATCTCCCGTCGATATCGGGCAGACCCAACTTTGTTGAAGTAACCAAGCTCCCGATGTTCTTCGGCACTGCCATTTTTGCTCTGGAGGGTATTGGTGTAGTTATGCCTTTGGAAAACAACATGAAGACTCCCACTCATTTCATCGGTTGCCCCGGTGTCTTGAATACTGGCATGAGTTTTGTCATTTCATTGTATGCTGCTGTGGGTTTCTTCGGTTTCTTGAAATATGGCGAATTTACCGAACCTAGTATTACATTGAATTTGCCAAAAGAAGAAGTGTAAGTATATTCATAATAAACTCTGCTGTATACTTTATTAATTGAAATGTTTTTAGGTTGGCCCAAGTTGTAAAAATAATGATCGCCGTTGCCATTTTCTTCACCTACAGCTTGCAATTCTACGTGCCAATGGAAATTATCTGGAAGAACTTGAAGCAACATTTTGGCGCCCGCAAACTCTGGGTTGAATACAGTGTTCGCATGGCTATTATCATCTGCACTGTGGCGATCGCAATTGCCATTCCAAACTTGGGAGGTTTTATCTCATTGGTCGGTGCTGTGTGCTTATCAACGCTCGGTTTGATCTTCCCTGGTTTAATTGACTTAATCACTTTCCATGAGGATCCAGGCATGGGCCGATTCAATTGGCGCTTGTGGAAAAATCTCTTCCTGATCTGCTTTGGCGTTGTAGGCTTTTTAACTGGTTCCTATGTGAGCATCAACGAAATCTTAGAGTCATGAAGCGCTTATTAATAGTATTTCGATCTACGAGAGGCTTTATTCGCAAAGGTTTCGCCAAAGAACGCCAGTTCTTCTAGTTTGGTTACAGAGATTACCAGAAGCATTAGATTTGAAAAATAGAAATTCTATATCGGAACATCAATAGTATTTGGTTGCGAATCGGAGGACGATGCGCGGTTAGACGAGATTTTTCAATCACGCAATGCACATTGACTGTGATTTCGTAGTTTTTAGTGAAATATATTTATATATATGCGAAAAGAAGTAAATTAAGAGAAGAAAATACACAAGAACCAAAAAGTAAATACACTAAAACGATGTGATTGTAGATCGAAATGGTATTACACAGAAAGCGGGACCGGGGCAGGACGTCGGATTCACGATTTTCTTTTATTTTAGTCTTTCCTTAAGTTTTATGTTCTTGACATATTGTCATATACAACTGTTTGTCGATAATGTGATAATATCATAGGACAATTAGTGCTAAAACATTGCATGTATTGCGTAGAGATGTTATTTTGTTTTATTTACTAGTATTATAGATCCGACGTCGTTGAAACGCAGTAGTACATCAAATGTTGTTGTACTTGCGACAATTAATTAAGATTATTGTGGTTTGACCGAGAAGGCGAAAACTGATCTAAATTTTAACCGTTTGCTGACTTTCGTAAAATCGAATAATTTTAGTAATGATTGCATGCCAACAGGGTATCGCGTATAACATAAATCTTCTTTCAAAGTGTTAAGTTCCTTACATAAATGTTGTTAAGTATTTACATATGTTGGTTGCATGACTTTTTGACCATCCAATATCGGTTTTATTAGAACAACAAAACGCATATTTATGATGTAAATGCTTGGGAGATATTTTTCTACTTAATATAAGTGTTGGACCTTAGTTTCTTTTCAAGTATACACAATAAATTAATTAATTAGATACATGTTTAATATAATTCAGAATATGTTTACATTTAAGTTGTTCCTAGTAATAGTTTGGAGGCCGCAAACATAAACACCAGTCCTGATATAAGCACGAAAACCCATTTCAAAATGTCTGCTACCAAAAGAAGAGTCATTGCGGAATCAATAATGTCATAATATTCGTCAGTAATGGTGACTCCCTAAAACAAATAATGTTATTTTACCAAAAATTTATTAAAATACACTGAATTAGCTCACCTGTTGAAGCCAGAGCAATGGCATTGCGGTGTTGTTCAAGTGTTCAGTCATTTCCACCATGTTTCCACCCAGTTTGATTGGGCGTGTGATTAAACTAATTTGAAGACTGATCCAACCTTCCAATGGAGCAGCAGTGAGCTATATATAAATCGAAAGGGTCGTAAACAAAATACCACAGGTTACATCAATATTGAACTTACGGGTTCCATTTTCAGATACGATCCATGCTCATCTTCGTTTGGGTGTAGATGATCGACAGTTGAGGAATATTTTTCATCAGCATGTAAGAAGTGTGGAAAGGATGCCAATCCTGGTATTCCTAAACATGGATATACATCTTGGACCCCATCCATAAAGCATGATTTTTCTCCATCTAATCCTCTGGTATAATCTGAACAAAAGCAAGATTCTTCCGGAGAGCAGTTCGTTGTTCTCCATGTATTTTTATTGAAACCATATTTGTAAACATTGACATCTCGAAATTTACTTTTCTCCATGTAATTCATTGTCATTGTTCTAAAGAAGACAACAAACGATAAGTAAATGGTATCTATTATGAAAGTTTTAAATATTATTTGTTTTGACTGAAAGGCGGGTGCGGCATTGATTTGATTGGTTGTAACGGTTGTTTCAACACACGTTAAAACAAGTTCTCAGATTCCCGCGCAAACAAAATTGTGGCCAGAAACCGGCTAGAAGGTTAAGTGTTGATAGTGGTTTCTAAGTTTTGATCATCACACCAAGCACATTTTATACGTTTATTTTGTCTAAACATGAGTCAACGTGTAACAAGGAGTGCGGCTGCTGCTGGCGGCAAGAAACCTACATTGGAACTTCCAATGGAAGCTAAGAAAGTTTCCAAACCCAAGAAAACTCCAACTGCCAAGGCAACTAAAAAAGCTGAAGAGACCCAGAAGACTGCAGCAATCCCGGAAAACGGTGATAAAGCGGCTGATGACTCAATTTATGCATTCACCGCCAACGACATCAAAGGTACTCCTGTTTCACTTGATAAATACAAGGGTCATGTTTGCATTATTGTAAATGTTGCCTCAAGATGTGGGCATACAAAAATTAACTATCAACAACTTGTGGATCTGTATGAGAAATATGCTGATGACAAGGGATTGAAAATACTAGCATTCCCATGTAATCAGTTTGGAGCTCAGGAACCTGGTACACCAGAGGCAATTTGCAAGTTTGTGGAAAAATACAATGTCAAATTTGATATGTTTGAAAAGATAAATGTGAATGGTCCAAATGCACATCCTCTGTACAAATTTTTGAGCTCTAAACTCCCAGATCCAAAAGGAAAGGGGGATAAGATCAAATGGAACTTCACTAAATTCATTATTGATGTCGATGGCAAACCAGTTGAACGATTCACGCCTGCCACCAAGCCAATAACTTTGGTGGAAACTTTGAATAAGTATTGGTAAATTTAGTTAGGTAGTTTTTTCATCAACTAAATACTTGAATATTTAACGTTTTATGATTTGTGACTGTGTGGTTGACAGTGTTATATGATAAAAGGAAATTTTTATAATTTAATATAATAAAATGTATCTGCAGAAATGTGTCTTTTAAAATTTCTGTAGAGTGAGTAGAAAGTTGCCTACATTGAAGTTAAATTGTGAACATTTCGAAGGTTCTAGAACATTCAGAACAGTTCAGATCTAGCAAACTGTTCCTGAAACAATTGCGATGCGAGTTTATTAATTTGAATGTTATCTAGTTCCAATATTGTTTTTTGGGCGTTGATTTTTACAAATCAAAATGAACTTTGACCGGATGAGTATACCCGGGGCATACTACACTTATTATCAGTATTGATATTATCGTTTTCATGACGTAAGAACTTATTATGTGATGAAACAAGACTCAAATTCAAAATAAACCCAAGTAACGTGATCCAACAGTCGCATTGGTCATGCGCAGCGCTGTGTCGCTGCGTGAGTTGCGCTTTTGCGTTCGAGTATTCTCGATCATATGTAAGTAACCAAGGTGAACCATGCTACTACTACGCGGTGTGCATTTAATCAACATTGCAGCGCTATCGCTGCCTTTATTACGACCGGTAGCGGCAGTCGATTCATTCTTCGCTAGTTGCTCGTCGGCATCAGATACCTGTAAGGTAGGCGAATCTTGTGTCATGGCAGAACTCACGAATCCCCCGAACCCGAAAGAAGCAAAGTCGATCTACGACTTCCAAGCGCGCGACATTAAAGGAAACGTCGTCTCCCTCGACCAGTACAAGGGCCATGTGTGTTTGATCGTAAACGTCGCGTCGCAATGCGGCTATACCAAGAATAACTACGCCGAACTGCAAGAGTTGTACGACGAATATGGCGAATCCAAGGGGCTGCGAATTCTCGCATTTCCATGCAACCAATTCGGAGGGCAAGAATCCGGCAACAATGAAGAAATATGCCAATTCGTCGCGAAGAAGAACGTCAAATTTGACATGTTTGATAAGATAGACGTGAACGGCGGAGATGCTCATCCTCTCTACACGTATTTGAAACATAAACAAGGCGGCATCCTGGGCGACTTTATCAAGTGGAACTTCACCAAGTTTATCATCGATAAAAACGGCCAGCCCGTCGAACGACATGGACCAAATACTAATCCCAAAGATATGGTGAAGTCGTTATTGAAGTACATGGATGCTTAAGTTACTGACCCATCATTAACTTTTACGTGATGTTCAAGCAATTGCATTAGCATTTAGAATTATGCAATGTCGCTATTATAAGATGTATGTTATGTTAAACTTTTTATTATACTGATGAAAAAAGTTGAAAAATACAACAAATTATATTGGAATATATGAATATGTACTGACATTTTAAACTTTGTTTGTTTCGAAAATAATTACCCTTTTAATGTTATTGACAAGTTAAAAGCTTAAGTGAGTTTGAATCATGAGAGATTAATTTGATGGCATTTACGTAGTTATTCTACTGATTAAGAACCTTTTAAGTGTTTTGTCAGATTAGGAATTTCAGAGTTGAATGAAATCGATAGTTTTTATCGTCTGAATCGATATAATTATAATTGGAATGAGATTCGTATTACAATAGGAGTTAATAAACACCTGTATTAACTAAACTATTTGGAAAAACATATTATATCCTGTCTAAATGTTCTCAGAATCTTTTAGATTAGTGCCCTGTCATTTAGTTATTTTTAACTTTTTAATCTGACTGTGAAAACATATAATAGTTATATATTTTGCTAAATATACAAACAAAATTGCAGAAGAAGTGTTGAAGCTGCATAGTCATAATGAGTTTTTGTTCCTTGTGTTTAATTTGCTTAAATATTTAGTCTTTTGGTTCAAAACGAGCAAATTGTATACTGTGAGTTTTGTACCGCAACGCCAAAATGATCTTTGTTTTATTGAGTTCTTTGCATTGAAAAAAGTACAAAAATAGCCAATGCAGGCAAATATTGCTATAATTTGTCATTATTAATAATTCATCCTTCATGTGTGTACTAGACACATTCAACAATTCTTTGCGCATTAAATATTAAAAATTCTGAGACTGTCTCACATCATGAAATACTCATGCTTTAAAAGCATTAATGGCTTAGTCATTTGCAAATTACCACAATTTTAAATATAAGAAACGCCAAGAAATACATATGCATGGGAAATAGACTTTTTGTGTTTTTTTTATATAAATAATGTTCGGAATAAGTGAGTAAATTAGAGTTTGTAGAACGGAAAATAATATCATTTACATTTCTCATTATCGCTTTGATTACAGCGCAATGAAACAATACGAAATCAATATCTAATAACGTCGTGAATCAATAATTAATTACAAGCTGTAATATACGCACAGAATTAAATTGTATTATGCATGTATAATGTTTAATATATAACGAATCGGTTGTTATCGCATCGATTTACGGACCTTATAGTTTCACCCACGCGTATAAGAGTTAATAATCAACTTACCTGCAAATGTCGGTTGAATAGATGTCAAAATTTTGTCCTTCCTCCATATTGGGTGCAAACACAGCTATATCATATCCTGATACTTTATTACAGTCACTTTCTTCGCCTTTCCAAGTTTGTGTGTACTTCATGTCATTCCATGTTTGAATTTGACCAAGTTTCATTATGTCTAGTTCACCTGTGTTTACTACAAATTTCCCATCGGTGGCATTTTGTTTCTATAAAAATCATTGAAAATCTTTTGAAATTTCTTACGTATTGTTCAACTTACCCAACCAAATAAACTATAAGTCATAGTTAAATCATCATTGTAGTTAACCATTTTTAAATTCAACAACATTACAACTAAGCAAATGAGTTTTGCTGGAAGGTAGGTTTCAGTAGGATCACAAAACGCTGTGCCTTCAAAGAGGAAATCTTTCACTTTCATTTTGTGAAACAGTAGATCACTGTCGCCAATCACATGTGGAAGGAGCCCTTCTATTTTATACTCAAAATCGATTATGGCGTTCTCAAGTATTTGAAAAAGTCCAATTGCTAGAAAATTCAACACATCCACTTCATCCTCATCAGATAATTCGGAACGTTCATAGTCATATTCAAATGTTTGAACAGTATAATAAGACACATGTTCATCATCCAATATTTCTACATCTCTCTTCTTTCGGTAATTTCTAATAATTGCATTGGAAATAAAGAAAAAGTAGTAAGAAAATATATAATACAAAATATAATAATTTCTTAAACTTACTTATAAATAAATGGTCCCACTTGTTTCACTGACGGTTTTGCACCAATCTTTACTTCATCAGGATTAGTAACTTCGAAAAAATAAATATTAAAGTCCATTGGAAAAGGTAGCTCCATAAATCTATCCCATGCTTCTGTTCCTTCTTTCAAGACCAAATACTGTAACAATGAAATGATAATCATGAAATCAAAACTTAAATTTTAAATTAATTTTACTTACGTCCGAAAGAACTGCGTCTATTATAACCGGCAGGATAACAAGAGCGAATACTAAACTGAATACAGTAAGAAATCCACCAACAATCGCCGTCCATAGTAAGCAACGAGTTTTGCGCGTAAATTTTGAGAACATTTTTGAAGTAATCAAGTAAACTATACACATTTGCTTCGCATTTGACGGACATTAATATATCTACTACGAAATCCCACTCTTCTAAAATATCCTTATCTTGTTTTAATAATGCACCTACTAAATGAAAAGCTGATAAAACGGAAACACGCATAATTGTAATTGATATTACGATTGATATCGGATTATACTTATAATCGTTCTTTTTATATTTTGGAACTACTTAAAAATTCACATTTGATATCAAATCGAGATTAAATTTTATGTCTACGCGATTTGAGTTCAAGTGTTGTTGGGAGGCTGCAATGCCTCCCAAGTTGAGAATTTATAATTTACAGTTGTTTTTTCAATAGAGGATTATTTTTGGCAATATTGAAAATTTCAAGTAGTCCCTAAATTTAGTTTATCTGTATTCTTTGCTTGAGCTTCCACTTTGCTTCCACAACGTTTTTTTGCATATTCTTCATGTTTGTTTATTTTATCGGAGAAATAATTGTATTTCAGTATTAATTTGTATTTCCATATGCATTATTGTGTTTCTTCAGCATGAAAAAGGAGTACCCGCATGAATGAATTAATTGAGTTATTGATTAAATAATTACATATTGCCATTTTATTCAATTTACTTTGTATTTATTTTTCCACGTGTGTTCGATAATGTGTTTACTAACAAGTGTTTAGTCTGTAATTTAGTTTATCTCTGGCTAAACAATAATTAATGACTTGAGTAATGAAATTTCTTCAGATCAATAATACACTTTAGCAATGATTGTTTTTCAAGTTAATCGGAAATTAACAAATACGATTTTGATAGGAATATCGAGTTAAGGAAGTTAGAACCAGTAATTTGTATGCAAATTCGTGAAGTGCAATATATTTATGCAGAAATATTAGTTCCAAACGATGTTCCATCTTTCATTATCTAATTTACAAAAAATATTGATTTGTTTATTATTTGAATAAATAGGACTGTTCGTACGCATGTAATGCAAATTTAAATGTGTAATTACATCACCTACGCGGCAGAGTTTACAGATAGGATTTCAAGTGTGGAAATCATTTCCAATTGCAACCAACTACATGGTCTCACTACATACAAGAAATTCTGGTTTTCGCTTGTCGCCTTTACTCTTATTTTGTTATTTGTCAGTTCGATCGTAAAAAAATGTTTAAGTAATATTAGTGTACAGTACAGTAAATAGTTATACAATACTTAATATCTGTTTCCGTCGTTCGTTTTGGCTAGCTATCGGGCAATCCACGCGCTGCAAAGCCAGCAACCTGCTTTTACAGAGTTATCCCTAACAATATCAACAATATTTACAGATTATTCAATTCATTTACAATTATTTATGTTGCATGAAATGAATTCTTTTAATAACAAAAATATATACTGGCTGTTACAATATATTTAACATATATGTATATGAGGTAAATATTAATTTTTGGAAGTTTTTGTTTTCGAATACTTCACCTGCTTATTAAAAAATAAATAAATTGCGTAAATTATAATAAGGCGACGTGAAGTTATACAATACATTCTAAACTCATTCTTTAAAGTGTCATCCCACTGCATTTTTCGTATGTACAATATTTTATCGGTCTGCCGGGTTCGTCATTCTCAAATATGAAACTGATCAAATAAAAAAATCATAAAATATATAATAATAAAAAAACAAAGACAAGTCGTGAAATAAATGAAGATGAATAACAATTGATTAAATGAACCATGATGCGCGAAAATGTATGCATGAAATGAAGAAACACGTATTAAGAACATATTGCTTGAATCTCATATCGTAATCTACTCTAATTAAATTACGCTTATTGGTACGAAATAATTTACAATTATAAAAACCGTCTATATAAAAACAAGGTACGAGAAAATGCGCCGATAATGGCGCTGCATTTACTTCTTGCTATTCCATGCTTACATATATCCTCTAAATTTAGTTAAATTAATAACGAGATCACAAAACCAAAATTCTGCAATAGACACAACCATATTTATAATCTTTTCCGTTTCTTTCTTTGTAATTTGCTTATTCTATTTAGGTCGGTGTTTGTGCATTCCCAAATAATCCACGCTCAGAAATCACATTCATGAAAGTTCACACGCACACCAAACACCACGCATTCCAATTTAATAACAACGTTACGAATGTTACAACTAGAAAAGTCATGATTGGTTCCATAAAAGATAATTCGTAAAAGACATTATGTGTAAGAATTATGAAGCCCTCAACATCAATAACTTACTAGTCGTATTAATCCGTAGCTAAACAACAATTTCAATGTGTACTAACCTACAATTACCATGTTAAATAAATTAATTTACATAGACACATCCTGGATTTCCGCATCAGAATCATCCGAGTCGGAGGAGTCTGAACTTGTATTTTCGAGATAACTGCATTTTTCGTCTGGATCGTAATAGACCTCAGCGCCTGGGAATATGTAGCGACTCGGATTTATCAGATAGTACGAGTTCGGTGGCAGTCGATCAGTGATGCTTCGTTTCTGCTTCGGTTCCCAATATCCGGACAAATCGTCATTTGTCTCCGATTCTTGGGTAACATCTTTGTTCTCCGTTGACGAGTCCAAGATGTTTGCGAACGAATTCGGCTCATGGATCGACGTGCTACATCCCGACGTAATCAGATCATCCTTATCCTTCGGCAGAAAATCAGCACTCGCAAGTTCCGAGTCGAAACTTGGCAGGAAGTTATCTGTGTCTAATTTTTTAATCTCAATCTCGTCTATGTCTTTGACGGTCTCGACGTCGGTAAAGTTGGAATTCTCTCCAATACCAGAATCTCGCGCTGAATCAACAGACATGTGACGTTCTTTAATTGACAGTGTTTTCTGTTTGCAATCACAATTAATGCAGGACTCATCAACGCATTGACAGTCCTTCGTCGGCTTCGATGATATGGGTAACAAGTGTAATGTTTCCTTGAGCATTTCAGGTTCATAAATACTTTCCTTCCAGCTATCACCCAACCTGCACATTACAAAGACAAAAATAACAAACTGGACCATAGGTTGAAATGTTATACTTACATATGACATAGATGATTAATGATAACATCACAGTCACCCAGAAGTTCAACATCAAAGTGGCAATGCGGCAGCGGTTCGCGGTTGATTAAAATTTGCGGAACGTGAGCAGGTAGCGAGCTTGGGATCAATGCGACTGGCCGAACTTTGAGCGAGCTGCCGATAACAACCAACAGGTCACACTCGTTCTTGTCGTCGGACATGGCATCGTGGAATGCGTCCGGTAGCCCTTCGCCAAAGAAAACAATATCTGGCTTCATGATGCCAGCCGAAACAAGGTCCCGCAACTCTCCGGGTTCTCGGTCCTTTAGATTGGCTATAGATATCGCCTCTCCAATATCCGGTCTGCATTTCCCACAAACTGGAATATTCTGCGATAGCACAATGTCCCTGATGGCATCCGCCGTTACTTTGTAGCCGCATTTTGTGCATGTTGCCGTCGCGAACGAACCATGGCATTCAATGACGCGTTCGATTTCGGCGACCTTTTCTAACGTGTCGATGTTCTGCGTGTAGTTACGGAGGAGTTTTTTGTGCTTTTCCAGAAGTTTGATAAATCGATGACACGGGCTGGGCTTGAACTTTCCTGGGTAGATATCCCGAGCGAATTTGAAAAATGGACGGGGGTCTAAATTGAAATACGTGATATCGAACATAGACTGTGGGTCGGGCAGATCTGGGAAATCAATTGCAAGTCTGGAATAGATGCCATCTCGAGACCGAAAATCCGGAATGCCACAAGATACAGAAACGCCAGCACCAGTAAGCACAATTATTTTCTTTGCACCTAGAAGACAAGATTCAAATTATTACTAAAATTAAATTTAGGAATAAAATGTTAACATACCTTTTAATAACCTGACAATATCATCCAAGGTATTAACATGTCTTAATTTGGGTCTCTTTGGAATAACTACACACATATTTATGATCAATTTCCAAAGTGTCATGTCATCCACAAACTGAGGAATTTGATCTTGTTCAACTCCCAGATCAACAAGCAACGTTCTTGGATCAACCCCATTATGAATTTGCTTTTGTATCTATAGTTCAGTCATTAATTAGTTTGCTAATTTGAAAGTTTTGACAATTGAAACTTACCCAGGACATGTTTCCAGGCATTGGTTTCCAATCCTGCCCTGATAAATCAGAGAGGCCACTCAATTCACTAACAGTTGAAACATTGTCATCATCATCAGCATCAATGCTATCTTGTGAAATGTCAGGGTGAGTTGGTGTCTGGATTAAAGAATCTGATTGATGTGATGGTGTAGCTATGGATTCCATGGTTGATGCTTCATAACCTGAATCACAATCCAACGGAAATCCTAAATGATATGCGTTTTTTTCAATATTAGATATATAAACTTTTCCAAATTCATAGTATCTAATTATAAACTATACGAATATGCACCCCGAAATTCGAATTTAAAATTCTAGTTGAGGTTAAGTTAAAGAAAAAAAACTTAAAGCGCGCAACACTTTTTAAAATTTCCACTTTAGGAAAACGTTAGACGAGGCATTTATTCAGAGTAATATCTACCAAGAAAAATAAGAAACAATTTGTTATCATTTAATGTAAATTTATTTTGTCATAATTTTCAAAAGTAAAAAAAATCAATTTTATTTTGACATTTTTAGTGTCAAACGCCGAAGATAGTCGAACTGGCCGAAGTAAATTGACAAATATTTGGAACACTGATTACACGAGTATCGCACATTTGCTGTTGAAATTGTTTATTTGAACCGCCGTCGTAAACATGAATCACATGAATGAAAAATGTCCGAGATTTGACAGTACTTCGAGAGCGTTGTTCATTTTTGGCGCATCGGGGAGATTGCCACGCCTACCAATATGTCCGCCGACAACTCCTATCGTTTCACGCACGCCATATTGGATCTGAATGCGTCGCCTAAAGGAAAACATATTTTGCAAAAATTACCTTCTGCGGGATCGGCCGGGACGTGATTCGTTGTGGAAAAACCGGGAAAGTCGCCATCGTCACGCGGCACTCCATTGCTGGACCCACTCAAATCTAATTTAATGCGTTTCACATGGGATTCGTGTTCCAGACCATCCGAATAGGAAGCCATTTTTGACACGAATAAGACGAGAAGCAGCAAGCGGCAACGGGAGCCTACGTCGTCTACGGAAGCAGAGGTCGCTCAACGCTACGTTGCCATTCTGATAATTTCTTATACACTCCTCTTGGGCAATAATTATTGATTCATGCATATGTGATGAAATTGAATTGATTGAATAAATAGTAATATGTATTGTTTTCAGATTTATTGTCATATTTGGCAATTTTATTTTCATTTTTGACAATTGCAACATGCAATTTGTTAGAGCGCGTGCGCATACACCCCCTCTTATTCTTTCTTCGCTCGGAACTGACGGATCTGGCCGTCTCACTGCGTTCCGCGTAGATTTTCCAGTATTAAAATAGATTTTCCGAAATTTATCGTAAATATAATACAATCATTGCCCTGACGATTTTACGAGTTTATCAATTCCACCGAGATGCCGAAGAATAAAGGTAAACACATTGTGCTAAGTGTATGAACCGCGCTTGATAACCTTGTTTTCTGCATGACATATGAGCAAGCAGCAAGATCGGGCACATTTTTTGGCATAAATCGCGATCATGTTTTCACTAATCATTGTGTTGTGCAGGAAAGGGAGGTAAAAATCGTCGCAGGGGAAAGAACGAAAACGAAACCGAGAAGCGCGAACTCGTATTCAAGGAAGACGGTCAAGAATATGCACAGGTAACAAAAATGTTGGGTAACGGCCGTTTGGAAGCAATGTGCTTTGATGGTGTGAAACGACTGTGTCACATTCGTGGCAAACTACGCAAAAAAGTCTGGATAAATCAAGGTGATATTATTTTAATTGGTTTGCGCGATTACCAAGATGCAAAGGCAGATGTCATTTTGAAATACACACCAGATGAAGCACGTAATTTGAAGACTTATGGTGAATTCCCAGAAACAGTACGCATCAATGAAACAGTTACATTTGTTGAGGATGGTTTGGATGAAGACATTGAATTTGGAGATGACATTAGTTCAGCAGATGAAGCAGATCCTGTTGATGGTGTAAGTTGTTGCCACCAATATGCAGATGCATTCTTATTAATTTCCTAATTTGTTCTAGATATGATGTCAGATGAGTCCCATAAATATATTGTTAGAAGGAAATGCCCTCTCTGCATCTGCAACAACCACATCCAAACAAGCAAAAACACTGAAAACAAGACCAGCTTTTGTTTTTGTAGATTTTTTCTCAATTCTATATTATCTGTAGCCAATTATTGGGATATACTCAACAACTATTTCTTTCTACATCTGTTCTTTATATTTATCTTGTTCTGATATACCAACATGAATATATGTATATCCACATATTCATTAGTGTATATTGGTTTATAACTATGACAATTTTGTTTGAACTAATGATGTGTTGACACGTCTTTTATTATAAATCAAACAATGTTTTGATAGAGAATTTACACCAGAGAAACAGACACTGAGTGTATTACTGTGCTATCTGTTTTGTTAGCGATTTTTTAATTATTACTAATTTAAAAACTAGTAATAATAAAAGCCATTTTGGAAGTATTTTAATTTACAACTATTATTTACATTCATGTTGAAATAAATCTACTTGTTGTTTGGACTCGAAATTATCATTAATTTCTTGCAAATGCAAGTGAATTTTTATCTCAAACTTTGTGTGGAAAGCTGCAGTCAAATAAATCATTTTTCATACATTCGCGCGTACACTTGTGAATATCAAATCTTATTTCTTAGTATGACTGAAAGAGATATTTTTTCGTTATCAGATGTAATAACACTTTTTGTTTATTTTGACTCATGTCACAAAATATTTACTTGAAATGTAATCTGTCAATAATTTAAAATTTTTGTTGTAATTTTTTGGAACGTGCGCAAAACAATGTCTTCTGAAAAAGTTTATACTTTGATGGGTGGAGAGCGTATGCCATTAGTCGGCTGTATGTCTGACCACGAAATTACACAATCAATTGCCTAATGATGATATTTTAGATGGTACATATAAGGTGCGTGGGCGCGAATTAATTAATCGAGTATTAGATTGCGCGCTTGGTGCAGGATACCGTCTTATTGACACTGCGGTGGTTTATGAAAATGAACAGGAGATTGGAGAAGCGCTACGAAGCTTACTACCGAAACATAACTTGAAAAGAGAAGATATATTTATTACAAGCAAATTGCGTACGTATTTCGTAAAAAAAACAGCAATTTATTATTAGACTGTAATACTTGCAGCTTCTAATCTTTATGGTGTTTTGGACAACATATTAAAAGTGATTAAAAGTAGTTTGGTCAAGTTAGATGTAACATTCATAGACTTGTACTTAATTCATTGGCCTGGGCAACATGGACAAAATCCACGTGATGATAGTAACTCTCATGTTAGAGCTCAAACATGGAAAGCATTGATTGAAGCTAAACGCATGGGCTGGGTTAAAAATATTGGTGTATCTAATTATGCTGATCATCACATAAGAGAAATAATTGATAGATATCCTCATGAATTGCCAGTTGTTAATCAGGTCTACGAATACGATATATGTAATATTAAATTTACCATAATTATATCTAATTTCTATTGTTTAGGTTGAATGGCATCCAATGTGTTATCAGCAAGAATTACTAAGCTTTTGCAAAGAAAACTCTATTCTCCTGCAAGCATACTTTAGTTTAGGAGGTACTTCTGATTCAAATGCGTTACTTAATAACGCAGAAGTTCAAAAAGTTGCGCAAAATGTGCATAAATCTCCAGCTCAAGTACTTCTGGCTTGGGCACTGCAACATGGAGTAGCAATTATCCCAAAGTCCTTGAATAATGATCATATTATTTCAAATTTTAAATTGGATTTTGTAATTCCCGATGATGATTTTCGCATTTTAAATAGTTTACCTCAGAAACGTTTTGGAGGAAACCCAGCAATTGTTTTATAAGCTTTGATTAATAATAAACCACCAAGTGTAATATAAATTTATTTACAAACAGCAACATTTATTGCAAATAAAAAGCCAAAAAACTAGCGCGAATAACCCGCGCATTTAGTTTATGGTTCAGTTTCAATCAACGAGTGTGAGTAGCGGTATGGTTATGTCTTCTCAAAAAGTTTTTCGCCTCATTAGTGGAGATTATATGCCATTAATTGGCTGTACGAATTATATACTGCTTAACTATTATCTTTACTGATATCCACGCTCATTTTAGATGGTACTTTCAGGGTGCGTGGGCGCGCATTAATATATGAAGTCTTGGATTATGCGCTGGAAGCTGGATATCGGCTCATTGATACAGCTGTTGTATATGGCAATGAGGAGGATATTGGAGAAGCACTAACAACTTTATTACCAAAATATAATTTGAACCGTGAAGATATTTTTATAACGAGCAAATTACGTTAGTATCTCCAAATAATCAAAGAAATCCTATTAAATTATGACAAATTACAGCTCCAAATCTTTATGGCAACTTTGAAAAGATACTTGATGTAGTCCAAAGCAGTTTGATCAAGTTAAAGGTGCAGTACCTAGATTTATACTTAATTCATTGGCCAGGACAGCAGGGTAAAAGCCCACAACAAGAAGATAACTCAATTATCAGGAGTCAAACATGGCAAGCATTAATTGAAGCCAAGAATAGGGGCTGGGTTAGAAACATTGGTGTATCTAATTATACTGTGCAACATATGACAGAGTTATTACTAAATAATCATGGTGTCATGCCAGTTGTTAATCAGGTAAATTCATAAACATTTGGGTACTTCTTAACAGTAAAACCCACATTTTTAGGTTGAATGGCATCCATTATATTACCAACAAGAGTTATTAAATCTCTGTCATGATAATGGTATTCTTCTTCAGGCATATTGTAGTTTAGGAGGCACATCCGACTCACATGTGTTACTGAATGATCCAAATGTGCAAAGAGTGACTAAAAATCTTTATAAAACACCAGCTCAGGTGCTTCTTGCTTGGGCACTACAGCAGGGAGTAGGCATAATTCCAAAATCATTGAGAAAAGAGCACATTATTGCCAATTTTAACTTGGATTTCAAAATACCAGAACAAGATCTGAAAATTTTAAATCATTTGCCTCAAAAGAAGTTTGCTTGGGATCCAACAATTGTATCATAAGTTCTTGTTAACAATGCATATTATATATTTTGTAAATTCAAGTTAGTTCATGTTTTATATCATTTATAAAAATGTTTGCTGATAATGTTGCAAAAGTTTCATTAGATTTATACAACAGTTTAAAGAAAACCGGTAAGCCAACCATAAGTGAATGGACTGTCATAGCCGCAATTTTAGTAGAAAGCAATAATAAGTTGGAAGTAGTTGCAATGGGCACAGGAACAAAATGTATTGGTAAATCACAAATGTCGCCGGATGGAGTTATACTTAACGATTCACACGCGGAAGTTGTGTGTCGTCGTGCATTTATTAGATTTTTATATCACGAAATGTTAAAAGAACAGAGTGATATTTTAGAGAGAGAAAACGGTAAATTGTTCCAACTTGCAAAGGGTTTAAAATTCCATATGTATTCAAGTTTAATGCCATGTGGCGATGCTTCGATTTTTCCTAAAATCGACTATAAACAAGATATATCTGATTATGGAATGGTCGTAGAGTCAACACCTAACAATCTTTCCACTGTCAAAAACACAGATAATGGCGAAAATGCAGCCAAGAGAATAAAATTAGATATTCACCGAACAGGTGCAAAATGTCTACCACATGATGACAAAGTGGATGAAAGACAATCTGGAAGTGCATATCACGTACTAGGTGCAGTGAGAACCAAACCAGGACGCGGAGATCCAACTCTATCAGCCTCCTGCAGTGATAAACTAGCCAAGTGGATCCACATGGGAGTTCAAGGCAGTTTCTTGAGTTTACTTTTGAAGGAACCCATTTATTTGTCGAGTATTACAATCGGCCACGAAAATTTCTCTAAAGAATCATTTGAAAGAGCATTATACAAACGATTTGATGATAATCAAGGCAAATGTGAAACTGAGAAAAAGTATACACTGCATATTCCAGATTTATTTCTATCTACACTGCGGAACTTTGACGCACAAAAATGTGAAACTAAACAACCGGCTCCCGCCAGTATAATATACATCAAGAATAGGTATGTTTCGAATATCTTTTAATAGATTGTTTATACTTTATGTTTGAAATGATGCGGTTTTGTTTTATAGTAAACCGGAAGTGGCAGTGGATGGTTTTAAACAAGGTGTCACAAAGAAAAATCGGTTTACGTCGAGTGGTAGACTGCAAATTTGCAAGTTGGAACTGTTGAAATGTTTTTTTAAAGTTGCAACCAAATTGAATTTAAATATTGATTCTAAACTATCCTATAGTGCCTTAAAACATTCCACGGAATATTCGAAATCATGGAGGGAATTACAAAAAGGTAAATTCAAAGTGTGGCCACAAAAACTGTCGACTTTTGAAAATTTTGTAACTGTCGAATAAAGTTTATTTTATTATTACAATCAATATTTGTGAATTCGGATGAATAATAATACTTCGGGACGGAAAATTTAGAGTGTAGTACAAGGCTCTTAGTGGAACATTTTTGAATAGTACATATTGTTACATTCGTCACCCCTTGTTTCGGTCATTACTCACAATCACGAAACTATTTTGGGCAGACGCAATTCAAACAAAAGCAATTCCCATTGTTTTATTTTCGGAGTTGATAAGTTTTGCATTGTGACGCTTGACATTATATAAAAAAAAAAAGAAACTACGCCACAATGTGAGCAAACGGATTCATTTATGGTATTCTTAATTAATTATACATATTTTGAAAAGTATATGTACAATTAGCACATATTGCCGCGCTAATATCTTCAATTCAGGCATTTACGAATTTCGAATTTTACGAAGAAAATTGTTAATCAGTTTTAGAGCAGAAAAGAGTTTATCTACCCATTTAAAAAATTTAATTTCCATGCTTTGACATACAGATAACAATTAAAGTAATTTATGATATGCCACTTCCGCGATTTCGACTGGTGAACTTGTAATTTCGCAGTTGGTACTCATTTTGTTAGTGTATGATGTCAGCTGTTGGGCTGTCAGGAGCTCAGTGCGTTTCGTATGTTTAGTGCGTTGGTTGCATTGCGTTGTTTCATTTGTTGCAAACGTCAAGATATGGACGAGCACACAGGACGGACACCTTCTTCCTATTAGTGCCGTAATAATAATGATTGAACAAATAAGCGCGATGTGAGTGTGCCAATTAACGACCGGGAGTGAATCGGGTTTGATACGATGGTAATCTGTCGACGATACTGCACTCGTTAAAAAACATTGTGCTGATTTTGTGAGAGTTAAACACAAGAGGCGAATTACCTCTGAATTTTGTTTATGCTGTTTATAACATTTCGCTCGTGAGTAATAATTTTACGCTTACGTTTACGATTACCGAATCCGGTTGCGAAACACTTGCCTGCAACACACAAATCTAGTCATGCTAAACTGAAAGTTTTCACTAATTTCGGATTGTTTCTGTTTTCATAGCAACAATGAGTTCTATGATAAAATTAGAAGAATATGAGCTCCTCACGGATTCCAAATATCGGATCTACGCTACAGCTGTTGAGAAGGCATTGAAGAATTTTGAGTACACTGCAGAATGGGCTGATTTAATATCAGCATTAGGCAAATTAAACAAAGTAAATATAACAATTAGTTTGTTAAATAAGTTAGATAATCTTATGAAACATTAGAATTACTTTTAATTTTAAATGTAAATAATGTTAAATAGTGCAAATCTTAATGTGGTGATTTTACTTTTAGGTTTTGACAGCTTATCAAAAGTTTCCAATAACACCAAGAAGAATAAAAATTTGTAAACGTTTAGCACAATGCATGCACCCAGCTTTACCATCTGGAGTGCATTTAAAAGCTTTAGAAACATATGATATCATGTTCAAAAGTATGGGTACCAACAGGCTAGCAGAGGAATTATTCATTTATGGTGCAGGTATGTTTGAACTTTACTGTTACATATACAGGCATAAAGATTACTACTATGCAAAATTAACAATATCATCCTACTGGCATAAAAACATTAATGGTATTTTTATGCTTATGTTCATGTGGGTATAAGTAACATAATCACATAATAAAACATTTGCCTTGAGTATAATCAATTTTCCTGTAAACTTATTGATTTTAACCAAATGATTTTCTCCTAGGTTTGTTTCCATTACTGGGACATTCGGCGATGTTCATTCGTCCAACATTGCTGCTTCTCTATGAAACACATTTCGTCCCGTTGCGCGAACGTCTACGTCCTGCATTAAGCGGATTTCTAAGCGGAGTGTTACCGGGATTGGAGATTGGTTCGGATCATTTTGACCGGACGAATTCAATCCTTGAAAATGTATGCGAAGGAGTGGGTCCCGAGTGGTTCTATACCTGCATTTGGCAGGGCATTCGAAGTAATAGCCCTGTTCGTCTTCCTGCAATCAGTTACATTCTCGCACATTACAATAGAAAACTGTCCATGGAGGATCAACTGTACTTGATGGGGCGCGATATCGATGTCATGGTAATGCTTATCTTATCTATTTTTATTTTAGTTATTTTGTGGGTCGGGCACGTTTCAAATACCGAAGAAAGTGTTGGAACTAAGTGTGTTAACTCATTAATACGCTTCGTTTATTGAGGCCTTTAAATGCCAGACGGAATGACTTGCTCGTTATGTCTACATGCGCTATATGTTTACTTTTATGATAATATAAATTGTTTAATGAATTGGTCGATATTCCCGTCTGTAGATATCTGGGCTGTGTGCAGCTGTGCAAGATTCCAGCGTGTTGGTGCAAAGGTCAGCGCTGGACTTGTTAATGGTGTGCTTCCCGACGTGGAACACGCAATTGTTGTATGCCGATATGGTCCGACTAGTGACGGCCGCTTTGACTACAATCTTACGCCGTGACATGTCGTTAAACAGAAGACTGTACTCTTGGCTGTTGACCAGCGAAACGCGTTCGGAGCGCAATGCGGATTTTCAAGTGGAGGACGATGAGTCGGATGCTGAGGAACCGACTACACCGACCATCGCTATTGATTTATTGATGGAAGCAATACGCGTTATTTTAAAGCAGGGAAGCACTGAAATTCCATTAGACGTTAAACCTTATCGGTTATTAACGTCGTTGTTTGATAAGCCACAAATTGGTCCGATGATTCTCGACAATATCTTGTATGACGTGTTTCGAGCATTGTACACGTCGTGTTTGAATTTGCAAAAACACAAGTCCAATACCACACGTTGCGTTAGTTTTAATGGTAATTTGACGAGCTTAAAAGGAGATGAAGACGCTTTGAAAAAGTCGTTTTTAACTCAACATTGCCAAGAGTTAACGCGAAATGCTAATTTGTTGTTCAACACGCTTCAAACTTATTACATTTGGTCTTACATTGAACGTTTATTTGAAAAATCGGTGACGATGAAACGAAGCAGTAGGCATCAGTATGCTGTAAATGATATTGGGTCTGGCGAGCCGAATTTGCTCGAGATCTGCGTTCTGACTGACTTTTTGTTAGATATCATACCTATTGAAACCTACGCGGAAAATACGGTGGAAATATTACCGAATTTGTTTTCCAAGATAATTAACGTTATACGCGAACAGAATAAGTCAATATCACAGGAGGAGATACTTGCCAGTTTGAAACTGTGCTCGAAAATATTAACGAAAATTCAGCCGTGTCCAACGTTTATGCCTAAGGTATCTAAAATTGAAACACAAGTGGAAAAGGTGGACGAAAAAGAGGATTCTTTTGAGGTAGAAAGTTTAAAGAATGGCTTGGAGAAAAGCAAGTCTGATTCAAAAATAAACGAAAAAGCTTCAAAACATGAACTGAGTATAGAAGACGCAAGTCGCGAGCGCTCAAACAGTAATCAGATGAAGAAAAACAAAAACAAAGATTCTCCGAAAATTGATAAGAAAAGTAAAAGTAAAAAGTCCAAATCCAGTTCAAAACTGTACGATTTGAAGAAAGAAGATGTTGAGGCAGATGCTGTATCTCTTTCTCCATCGGAAAAGAAGGAGGAACGAGTTGAGAAGCCTGAAAAGGTACAAGAAGAGCCTATAAAGGTCGAAAACAAACACATCATCATGTGCTTGAAAGTGTACAAACGTTTTTACGAAACATTGTTAGCTGATTTTATCATGCAGGAGCTGAAAGCCGAAGTGTTTTTTGAAAGTTTACTTAAAGAGAACACTTTGCGCAACAATGAGCTGATGGAAATGCTAGAAGATAAATTATATGAACGTCCCAAGAAATGTCCATCCAATTTGAGCGAAACGCGTAATCAAACCTACACTGAGGCATCAAACATCTACGATGAATCAATTCAGGTTGCTTCAAATTTGTTGATTGAATTTGCGGCATTTCCGAATATTTTACAGGATGATCAGGAGTTTGAATTTCCGCATTGGTTAAAAGTTCTCGTGGGCTGTTCGTGCTCTCCCAAGGCGAATAATAACGTCAAGATTACGTGCATGAACACATTGTTGAAGATCATCAGCATTTCGAAAACACAAAGTCTCGAGAAGCATGCCAACAATAACAATGTAGTATTAATGGGAATATTGGATATTCAGCATGTGATATTTATCGAGGAAAACACAATTGTTCTGGAGTGTATTTGCGAGATATTGTGGGATCTTTTGGGCTATCTGAGTAATCAAAATCAGCTAATAATATGCGCAAATCTACTTTACAGCATTCACAATGTTTTCGACACGAAAATGTTCGTCGAGCACGTCATCGGTAAATATTTAGTCGATGGGGTTTTATGCACGGATTATTTCAAGCGGTTTTTCTTATTGTGGCATGGCGGACGCGAGCTAAAACTACGAAATCCATCCTTGAGCAATTCGGCAATGCGAAATTTTGATCATTGTTTATTGAAAATAATGGACAATTTAAATAACCAAGAGCGACCGAATATACGACTTCTTTCGGAAACGTTTGTAACGCACAGTTTGCTGCGGCATGACATTGCGAGGATTATAAATCCTCTTCTGTCGAAATTGTTGTCGGCGACAACGGCACGAATATCAATTCGTTTTGTAAATATTGAAGACCCCGAGCTGCAAGCTCACAACCAAGCTGAGGGAGCTAAGGCGGAAGATGTGAACGCGAAGAAAATCTACGCAATTAGTAGTGTGAATGGTAATGTGATGTTTCATGTAACTGACGGGCCAAGCCCGAAACCTTCGAAGAAGCGTTGGTTCCTGTTTCCGCGCCCTGGCAAAAAGGGAAATCAGGTTGTCAACATGACCACTAGTCTAACGGACAACTTAAACGTAGTCACGAAGCGCAATAAAGACTTTAAACCCGACGTTTCACCAAATATTGATCGTGCTAAAAACAACGTTAAATTATTTATTAATCCTCTGAGCAGCAAGGAAATATATCCCAACGGAGTTGATGGCTGTTACACCAAGTTGGACTCGCATTCGTCCACTGAAAGTCTGTCGGATAATAATACAAACGCCGATTCGGGATTCGTATCTATGAGTTTCCATTCGGTAGCGGAAAAGAGAAGATCCGATAATGACAAGCACAGTATTGATACAAAGTCCGATGTTTTTATCGAAGAAGGTGTTGAGAAGCCAGAACGTGTCAGTCGTATGAAACGTTCGAAGAGTTTGGACGAGAAAACGCATGCGGATGTCGAAGATCATTTGCAGCACAGTTGGTCCGAATCTGTATCCGAGAGCGATGTAAATTCGTCACTCGATGTTGTTCGAACCGCAGATGCGGCCGAAGATTATTTTAAGATGCCTTCCAAGGAAGCTAGCGAAGATATTGCACTGTTACTTAATGACATATTAGAACAGGTCTGCCCTAACGAAACAAACGGAGCGAAAACGAAAAACTTTACTCTTTACCCAATTCATCAACACTTGTGCCTCTATTACGAAGTTTTTGACTCCAATCAAATTATTTATACGCTTCGCACACTAAAGAACTGCATCAACTCTAACCCGCTTCTATTTATTCGTTGCTTAGCCACGTCCGGATTAAAGGACCTGCAAAGCAATAACATTTTATATTTGTTAGCGCGTCATAGAAAAAGCATTCAAGGAGGCGGTTTCGGCGGAGAACTGAGCCCAGATCACATTAATGTCTATCGTGGATTCACTTTTCTGGACGTTCTAATAACTATTACATTAAATTATATCAAGAGTTTCTACCCTTGTCTGGATGATGTCAAACTTACAAGGACGGAGCAGGATAACAATTTGCAAATTCAACTCGACTGCTTGGAAATACTAGACATTATCATAAAGCATTTGATTAATATTGTCAACGACAATTCCAAAGGATTCTCTGGTTATATTGCGGACACGCTGAAGAAATGTATCCTGCAGAAAGTGCTTTTGCATTGCTTACTAATGTCGGTGCGGAATTTTGACGAGGACGCCTCGTTTGCCGAAGAAATTTTACTTTTTAATAATTTTAAACTCTACGACAATCAGAAGCGAGTTACCGAATATGTGGAAGCATATCAAATCTTACTTTTAAGGCTTATCAATTCGTTGATCATACTAGAATTTAAGGTATTTCCGGAAACAGTGGATACCCCTAATGGCGAAACGGCGACCATCTTAATTCCGCAGCAAAGCATGTTCTTGTCGGCGATTTTGAGTGCACTAAAGCATCAGAATATGAAACATCTGCATCAAAATTGGTGTCATATGGTAACATCATGTCTGCCTTACTTTAACGACAACTTGAAGCAAATTTCACTCACAGTGATACATCAGATTTGTAATAACATCGAGAAGATTGCGGACGCTTACATGGCGACTGAACTCGGCGGTGAATTATGCGCAGATTACGCGACGACACAATTAGAATCCCTTACGATATTGGTTCATTATAATCTATTGGACTCGACGCAGACGGCGAATCAGAATTTACCGACGTTGGGGAATACGGCTTCCACGATTGTGACAAACACTAGCGACATTTTTAATAATTTGGTGAATGCGTTCTTTAGTCCAATCGGTGGGGAAGTCAACTTGACGAATAAACACAATAAAGACAACTACCAACTTGCCAGGAAGGCTATCCTCAGCCACATGCCCAGAATTATTTCAAGTGTTGCTAAGCTATGGCAAACCATTGTCAGCATCGATGGCGACTTTGAGGGCGTATTTGGGCATTCGAAAATTGTGAAACAGCAGCTTCTGGAATTCCTGAGTCCGATTGCTGTGCATCACAGCTCTAGTTTCTTGGCGGCGATAGCCGTAGCATGGCATGAGAGGAAAAATCCTTTCATGAGTATGAAAACTGTAAGTTTCGATATTAAAAATCTGCAAAATTTTGAAATTAATAATATTTTTTTGTATGTTTAGGCGCTCCCGGAACCAAATACGAGTCAAAACAATTTAGTCTATTTAATATCAGCTATCAGGGTAATTCCGTTAGATAACTTGGTGCAAACTGTAACTGCTGTGATAAAAAATCCGCCGCCCACGGAGGGTCTTAGTTCGGAAATATTTCTTGATGTCTCCATTCTTGAGTTGTTTTATTGGTAAGTTTGGAATACAATATACCTAACTATCTCATTGCTAATCATGTAAATTATTTAGTTATATGAGAAATACCACACCCACACAAATATCCGAAGCATGGAGCTCGCTTCTTGCGTTAATAAGAGAAGGCTGTTCGTTATCGCCTCAATGTCAATTCCTACTGGCGGCGTTGCTGCACGAACTGATGATCAAGTGCTGTCCACTGGAAGAACGCAAAGATCAAAAGGATTTACAAGATGTGACATCAAAACTAATCGAATGCGTATCGCAAGTATGCGGTGCTTGTTTGGAACAGACAACATGGCTGCGGCGAAACCTAGCCGTTAAAGAGCAGGAAGTTGATTCAGCGTCTAGCGGAAGTGTGACACCCGGGAGCCATTTAGATGTCATTAATGTTGCTGCTAATTATAGCGTTCAAGCGCAGCTTGTGTTATCTGAAATATTGGCACAGATCTTGGATATATGCTTCGGTTCGGTGGAGAAGGATAAAGTCAATAGCATCCTGTCGTCACTGATGGGTAACATCGTGCCGTATTTGCGGACGCACACATTACGCAACATGCCCAGTTTCAATGCTTGCTCAAAATTAATGGCGAGCCTAAGCAGCTATCAATACACGCGGAAGGCTTGGAAAAAGGACGTGTTTGATTTGCTATTGGATAACACTTTATTCCAAATGGACCAGGCTTGTTTGAAATACTGGAAAGTTATCGTTGACAATTTGATGACCCATGACAATACAACCTTTCGTGATTTGATGAGTATGTTTAAAATTAGTCGGCATCTTTTCGACCCAATACTAATAAAATTGTATTGTTTTCAGTCCGAGTCTCTTTGACACAGAGCGGAAGTTTAAACATTTTCGCATCGCGGGAACAAGAATACGAACAGCGTGCGCATCTATTAAAACGACTCGCATTTGTTATATTCTGCAGTGAGACCGATCAGTATGCCAAATATATGTCAGAAATACAAGGTATAATGAGTAGATATTAGCGATTCATAGGTAATAGAAGTGTAAATTTTGTTTGGTATTTTTGTAGAACAATTAACTGCCAGCCTGCGATTGTGTGTGCCCAGTATTCAAGCACAAGTGTTCATGTGCTTTAGAGTGCTACTAATTCGAATGTCACCCTTGCACGTGACGTCATTATGGCCTATCATCATCAGTGAAATGCTGCAAGTGTACATACAAATAGAACAAGAATTACAGACGGACAGCGAGGAGTTTAGGTACGTTAAGTGTCTCGTTTATCATTATTATGCATAAGTAGGTAACTAATTTGTTGATTGCTGAACGTTGGTCTAATTAACATATTTTTGTTGTTGCTTTACGGGGAACGGCCTGCGCAGGAACAATAGCAGGTAATTCTAACTTGTATTTTACTAATATTGCTTTTTGTTGCTCGTTAAGTATAAGTGTTAGTTGTTGCTTTAAAAGTTTTATAACAGTTTAGAATGGGATAAATTGTTATAAACGAACATTTAGTGCGAACTACTATGTAATGAAGAAATGGTAAATGAGTTGCTACTGTTTTAGTGCACACATCAAATTTTTATCTACTTTGGATCCAAGTTGGACCCAAAATAGCAACAATGGACTTCACGCTTTAGGCAATCCGCATTGGTTGCGATTACAGTTGGCCGCTGCCAAGCTTCTAGACTTGGCCCTGTTGTTACCGGCAACTTCACTACCACAGTTTCAGATGTAAGTTTTACGTGCTGGATGAAAACAACGCTGAATATAATATGCATTCTAAATAAATTAGGTACCGATGGGCATTTGTCGAAGATGATGTGAACACAGACATGACAGAATCAACTTCCTTCACGCCACATGTTTGTCGTATCGCAAACCTTATGGACCAAAAATACGCCTCTACCGAAATTGAACCCCTGCCTACCAAGCAAAACGAACTATTGCTAACAGTGACTTCGATCAATCAATTGCAAGATTTGCATCCGTTTTTCAAAACGCTCAGTCTTTGCTCGAATCGCCACAGGTCCGAATGCAACGGGTCCGTGCCCAACGATCTCCTAAGCGACAAACCTGTCGATAAGAAAATGCAAGTCGTTCTTGAGAAGTTAGATAAGGTCGTGGAAGCCGATTTCTTAGACAAGATTCCGAGATAAATCCATTATTGTTTGTTTACAATCGCGCTACTGTAGCTAATTAATTTATACACACTAAATCGTTACTAGGGCTAAGTTCCAAAGATTATGGGATGCATTGGAGACATTCAGTATTACTTTTAAACGAATTGAAACACGTCCGTCTTCACTGATGATTTGCGAGTGAGAAATATTAAATATTGGAAGGATTAAACGTCTACATCTAAGGTTATAAATTAAGTAAAGCATTTTTTCAATAAAGCTAATTGTTACTTAATTGAATTTATTCAAAACACATTTTTACATTTTAAAATAATATAAAGAGTATGATTAGGTACATAAATTTCCAGAGAAGAAATTATGAAATTGTGATTTTCTATGTGATGTTTTAATTCAAATGACACGCCGGATTGAATGGATTGATACTTGATTGATGAACCCTAGGCGATAAACGGTAACATAAGGAATAAATAATATATTACATTTTTTGTTAATTGAATTGTAAACACACGGATATGTTAATAAATTAATTTTAACTAATTTTTAAATTGCAACAGGCAGAGAACTTGTAGAACTCTGGATGCTTTTCTTGCTTTCTCATTAGTTTCGCTGGTATTTGGATTTCTGCTGCCGCGGGTTGGTGAATTCGTATAATAGTTTCGGACTATTTCGAATTTCGCGCCAAGTACAATACGTGCACCTGTAACTCGAGTCTGCAAATCGGGACATGTCAATTTATATTTACATTGTACCCAGTGATTGACCATATCTCTATATTGTGCCAGAATGGACAATGAAAATGTTAAAGAAAAACTGAACACTTTAATTCATAAAAAGTTATCTGAACATTCCTCAATGGACTCATGTGATAGTTATCAAACAGTGCAAATAAAGCAAGAGCATTTCGATCAGGACATAAATGGATCATCAGAAGCAGATTTAAACAGTTATCAACAAGATGCGACTGAAATAATTGTTGCTCCTGAAGACAGATTTAAACATATTTCTCTCCATGAAGTCTTAAATGAGAAGAAGAAAGCATTATTGAGGAATCCCGAAATTATAGATCTGTTACTTAGACAATCAAAATCATAGATTCGTTTATTTTTATATATAATGTTGGCAAATAAATGAAAAGGTGTTTATATTGATAATAAGTGTTATTGCAGCCACCTTCATGTGTTTGCACCTTGATGTCCTTCAAGTTGTCAATCAGTGAACAAATCAGCCAGTTCTGGTCAGTGTTATTTAGACAGCAGTGGTGTAAGTTGATTTATTTGTTATTAAACAAAAAGGAAAACCATGGATTTGGAAAACGTAAACCCCAACGTATACCATAAAGCATCCGAGCGTATTGTTCTTGCAGAGGAAGAGGATGACGATGTCGTGGATGAGATTGATTCTCGCGAAATCTTTGGTGAGATAACCTATAAATAATTTGCAGCAAATGCAACATAAAAACATTAACTATTTTCAGATTTAATTAAAAACATAAACGATCCAGAACACCCGCTGTCCCTTGAAGAATTGCACGTGTTGGAGGAGAGCCTAATTACTGTGGACAATCAGAACAAGTTAGTCAAAGTACTTTTTACCCCAACTATCCCACATTGTAGCATGGCAACTTTAATTGGTTTGTCCATCAGAGTAAAACTACTCAGATGTTTGCCATCAACATTCAAAGTTAATGTTGAGATTAATCCTGGCACACATAATGCTGAACACTCAGTAAATAAACAACTTGCTGACAAGGAAAGAGTAGCAGCTGCCCTGGAAAATGATAACTTGATAAAGGTAGTAAACCAATGCATAGCAACCAAATAAATGAATGTGTATTTGTACATTTGTTTATTAAATGTATTGAAATTAATTCAATCTTAAGTTTACAACAATGTTCAGTTACTACTCTTTATTGCACTCTGTGCAGTACTTGTTTTTTTCACTTGTTTTGTTGGATCATATTTGTATGTTTTAACAAGTGGTCCTTTACCAGCGCGCTGAAACTGCAGCTCGTCTAATCGCCGACGTTCTTCAATTTCTTTAGTGATCTTGATATTTGTCCATGCTGTAACAAATTTATTATTAGTCAATTGTATTGCCAAATTTTGTAGTAATCACTTACAGTCTTTCAAACCACCAACGAATCCTTTATTTTGTATTGGCAACTTGGCTTTATCATGCTGCAGCATGGGATCAATCTTGAAATAATCGCGCACGGCGGGAATCTTGAGAAATCCTACTTGACCAAGTGAAATAACGTTACTTGACAGCCAATAGCACAGAATGGCTCCGGGGAAATTCACGGTGAACGGCAAAATGACAAACGGTAGCGCCCGCAGAACGTATTTCATTGTTTGAAGATTTTGCGAATTTAAACGTGCAGCATCAGTTCCCAACTGAAACCCACAGCATTTCATTTGTATTCTTTTGTTTGTGTATTATTATTTAAAATGGTACCTCAATAGTTGCCCACAAAGTCAAACTCGTAATCACAGGCAATGCGAAAAACTGATCTGGTACCGTCAAGGCGATTTCAAGCCGCGATGCTGTAACCCTAAAGAGCAATAAGCTTTTACTTGGTCTATGCTATCAAACATTTATTTCTTTTCAACAGTTGCATATCGTTCTCTATTAAAATCTATGTCGCGCAAACTCGATGCATTGTTAAATATGCTTGCTGATAATCCACAAGCAACTACAACTCTCATGAAGCAAATGTATTACCAGATTTTTCGATATCCAGTTACAGAAACTCTTGAGAGAAATTTAATCAGCTTTTAATTGACAAACAAGTAGCACTCACTCAATATGTAACTTTACTTTCTTCATCCTCAAGAGAATTGCACGAAAGGCATGTTTTGTTTTGCTTGAAAATTGCTTAGTAATATCTAACTATAGAAATTTTGATATTATTATCGACCTGGTTCAGCATTGTAAAATGTTTCATGGACTGAATTAAACAAAGACATAACGGCAATGGGAAAAAAATATTCGAAGCGTTGAAGCGATGAACCTCTGCATCTCTTGGAGTGGTTAAAAAACTATAAAGGTCGAAAAAATGTCCTTCGTACAGCATTTGAAAAGTAAGTTAACGTGATCTTCTACATTGAATAAATTTTATGAAGAAATATGGGAAGCACTCATGAATCAAATCGAGCATGCACAGCTGTGTTTCTTCTGCCGCTCCAAAATTTGGAATTAACAACTTCTCCTTTGGAAAGCGAGAAAGGATCGGAGTAACACTAATGGGTCTAGTGTTACAAATTTTCGTTCGGGATTTTTGTCTTTTTCGGGTTTGACGACACTCTGTAATCTTCCACGTCTCCAGAATACAAAAATGTTGGCCAAGTTATAATTGCCCTCTCACGGAGCAGCTTAATTGCCTTTGGCGGAAGGTGTCTAAGCCTGGATCTTTTCGGTGTTCTTTAGATTTGATCGCCTGTTTAATTTCGTCAACTAAAGACAATCAACTACGCTTGGCTGCGAATTTAGAATCAACAGGGTCGCCAGACAATGGGGTCCCCGGTTGTTTGTAAATAAATTGGTTCGCATTTATATAGAAATTCTGCCGCGGTACATCCTTAAACATTTATATTTATATATATTTTACAAGATATATGAAAATATGATATTTTTTCAAGTGTTACGAGTATTTATTTATTAAGAAACTACACCGCTTTTATAAATTAGTTGTTCATAATACAACTTTTTTTTTTTTTCATAGATAATATTTTTGTGATTACCACTTTTGGTGCTTTGAATAAATGCTACTTTTCTACATTCTCCCTTGCTTGCAGCTACTAAGCCAACCATGAACAGCACAACACCTTCCATTTTATCACAACAAATTTTGAAATAAATAAATTAGTATTTTTTATATTTAATTAAATTTAATTCAACACTCACCAGCAGGCACGTGTTTGCATTAATATTAATAACATCGGTTTTTCATATTAGAATATTAGGTGTTACAAGCATGGAAATGTTTGCTAGCATAATAGTTCGTATAGAGTGGTCTGGTCGTTTTATAAAATGCAAGAATTGATGTCGGTGAGAAGTTAAAATTTTTGTGTTTTCCTTTGAAAATGTACATTTTCAAATCAATTTATCAAGTTTGCCTAGAAGGTATACTATTTGGTAACCGCCCAGCAGCACAGTGGGATGCCTATATTATCGTGGAACCAATCACCAATACGGCAACGCGCAGTCGCTTCAGGCCCCTTCTATATTCGACTGAATGCCCGCGGTGCACTGCGACTTGATTCAGTTTTGGCGCCACGTCGGACGGTTGGCGCTGTCTGTTGCATTTGATACATCGGTTTGTGTGTACGAATAAAAGTAACGGCTGATGTAGTATTCCTCAATAAATCAGTGTTCTAGATGGAAATCTGTATAATTGCCATGACCTAAGGCAAAATACATGCATAACATAACCAAGTGCAGCAACAGTATCACACCACGTTGTAACGAATTAATCAGAATTAATTTAAATACAATACTAGTGAGAGCTAAAACTAAAAAATGTATCACAAAACGATTCAAATGTTAAAGTCAAGAAGTAAAATTAGTGACCACGTTAATATATTAAAAATTAATCCCAAATTAAAATGTAATACCACTACAAAGCAGCATGAGTATAATCCACTCATTAAGAATTAGCTGTTCTGCCGGGCATGCATGTTATGCATCGCCTGCCAGCGACTTCGGGTGGGGCCGAGGCTTGTTAATTCATCTCTTTCGCTCTCTTTTTCTCCGTCTGTCGATTCTCGTCTTGGCAGTTCAGCTTTGTTTGAATTGCTGACCTCGAGATCTGTCTTTCTTTTCCTTTTGTGGTGCAGTGCCTGCAATTTCAACGAATTTTGTATGAAATACCGGTTTACACATAAAATTCTTTTGATGAACCCCTTTATCTTTTTTCCTTTATTTTCTTTTACTTTATTTGTCTTATTAAATAAATGTAAATAAACCATTTTATGATATTTCCATTTGGTTGGGTTAGACTTCAATTGCAGTGTTGTTTTTGACTTGTCAAAACGTGTCGATAACACGTCGCCAGTGTTCGCCAGTGCGTTTGATAAAACGGTACAAAAGCAACTACCTGATTTGTCACTATATCTACTTTTTGCCTGCAGCTGCTCTTACGAAGCTAGGGGGAATATTTGATCCGCTTCATTTGCTTTGGTGTTTGATTTACTCGCTCTTAAATTCTTGTAAAAGTAACACGCTTAAAATCTGCATGAGTTTCCGTTCATTGTAAGGTAAGGTTGCTCAAGTTGAACCCGCAAAAAAACAATACGGCATAAAAGTAAAAATTCATTATAAATATTAAAACTATTTGTTTACTAGCGTTAAAGTAACGCGCAACTTACGCTTATTTTTTAAATAGTGGGTCAGCTGAAACCTTGAGTCCCACATGTTATATATGTATTCACATGTGAATTAATCCTTACTAATATTATAAATGTGTATGTCCTGAAGTTTATCGTGCTTTCATGCAAAAACTACTTAACAGATCATCATGAAAATTTGTACACATATTCTTAGTGGTCCCCGATACTTTTTATTTAATTAAAATAATTATTTTTTTAAATAAAATAAAGAAATTGTTTAGCCAATAATACCTCTGCATCTGGCTAATTGACTACTTTAACGCAATCTAGCATTCCATCTAAAATTTAAATCTTCTTGCATGTAGTAATTTTTTTACATGGATAATCCTAGCCAAGCAGTGAAATATACATTCTTTCTATCAATCCGTTTCAACTATGTATAATGATTTCTAATATTAATTTGATGGATTCAACGCGAGCGAAGCCGCGGGTTAAAGCTAGTAATTTAATAAAATAGATAAAAAAAATGTATCAATCGTGGGTGTTGCGTTGTTGACTGTAAAAACAGTCCAGGTAAAAATCCAGAACTGCGATTTTACAGTTTTCCTGGAATATTGCAAGCACGCTTTGTTCTCATAATGTTCTTCAAGAAGTCGCTAAGTCGAGCTGTAACCTACGTCGGACAGTGTCACCGTATGCATTATCGATGCTGGTTCCCCTAAAAGGCACTCTCGCAGGTACATAAATTTCTCGACTTCAGCAATGGTCAAGTTTTTGTGGATGAGCGTGGTGAAAGCATCTCTAAAGTCGGCCCATTTCTCAAACTTTTCGTCGAATTTTGGTAACTCTAACTCGGGTAGCTTTGGGGGTTTCTTACTGATCGCTGCGGTTCCGCCTACGTTGTACTCGCTTCTTTGATGAAAGAGTGTGCTCTCCCTATAGCCGGTCGGAGTTCGCTGGAGAACTGCCGCCTTTCAGCTTGAATACAAACATCATGTTCGGCTAGTTTCTTATGTAGGGGAAGTTAAGGGGCACACCTAATGTGACAACCTAAAAAAGGCCATTTTTTGAAATTAAAAAAAAATTTTGAGGATATATTTATACATGTTTTGAGAATACACAGTAAAATTTTTGAAATAAAATATTAAATATTTTTGAAATGACACGCAATCTCCGGCGGCGCCAAATAAAGATCCTGCAGCCTTCTCCGTTGATAAACCCTAAAAAAATCTCGTTAAATTAAAACATAGTCTGTTCGATGACCCTCGGGCGAACAAATAAATCAAAAATTGACAAAATGACGGCATGTTGAAGAAAAAAGTTAAATTTTTCCCAAAAATTTGGTCGTTTTTGGCCTGCCAAAATTCGATTTTTGATCAGATCAAAAAACTGGAGGGTCATCGTATGGAGAACTATATAGAGGAGATGCAAAAAAAATTGATAGCAATCGGATCATTTGTCTCCGAGCAACAATTTGACTCCAGCAACATTGATAAATGCTGTTTCGAGAAAAACGCGTTTAAAGATAAAATGATCGTTTTCACTGTTATAAATGGATTAAAATCATATTATACTTATAGCTAATCTGTTATTCCAGGCCCATATAATTTCACCTTCCTCTTCCTCAAAAAGTGCTGGTTGAGCTGAAGATGCTCTTCTTCGAGATGATCACCCTCTTTTGAACAAGCCCGTTGGCGATGATTAGCAATTCGTAGTCTCGTCTCGTCCTTAAGAGCCGTATAATATCTTGCTGCAGGTCCAACTTTTACTCCCATGTAGATGTAACGTGAGAGTTCTAAGCCCACCTCCGCCTCAGCATCAGCGCCACCTAGCGGCGAGTGTCGAAAGTGTTTTGAGTAGCGAGTCGGTTATTGTTGAACACTGTAATTTGGTAGCGCGTCGGTAATTGTTGAACACTGTAATTTGGTAGCGCGTCGGTAAGTGGTGAACTGTAATTTGAATGTAAGTGTTGATACGACGACGATGACGACGTTTTTGCGCGCGCGTTACTTACTTAACGTGCCAACGTCCCGCCCAGTGTTAACGATAACGTGCGTAGTTTTGCAGATTTTACCCTAATGTTAAATCCCATAAGAAATTGTGCTGGAAGTCGCCTACTATTATATGCGGATTGATGTAACAAATAAAAAGTTGGGAGTTTTGTTTCTATTTATTTATTAAATACATTAT